ACGGTCCTGGAGACACTGAAGACCTGGCCGGGGCCCGGAGATGAGGCCGCTGCCACCGGACAGCCCCGCGACTCCCCTAGGACGGGTCCAGGAATGGCGGCGTCCCCGTGCAGCAGAACGGGACCCGCGTCTCGAGAGGCGCTTATGAGGAGCGCCGCCCGCACCCCGAGGGTCACTTCTCTCGGTGCAGGACCCTACCTGTCGTCTAGAGCGGCCCTAATGAACGAAATAAAATTTTCCCAGAAAAGATGTCTAAAAGCATTTTCTCTTTACTTTCTTTTTAAAATATAAAGAGCCGCCGAAACCGGTTTGGCTCAGTGGATAGAGCGTCGGCCTGCGGACTCAGGGGTCCCGGGTTCGATTCCGGTCAAGGGCATGTACCTGGGTTGCGGGCACATCCCCAGTGGGAGATGTGCAGGAGGCAGCTGATTGATGTTTCTCTCTCATCGATGTTTCTGGCTCTCTATCTCTCTCCCTTCCTCTCTGTAAAAAATCAATAAAATATATTTTTAAAAAAAATTAAAAAAAAAATATAAAGAGCCACCGCTGTGAGGCGCTGTACGGTGACAATCTGAGTTCCATGCACAGGCAAGGTCTTGCAGAGCCCAGAATTAAGTGCCAGGACATCCTTCTCTGCTTCCTTTAAAGGGATCCTTTTTTTTTTTTTTTTTTTTTTTTTTTTTTTAATGTGACATACTCAAGCCTGTTTTTCTTTAAAAGATGCTCACTGGTTTTGTTTGCTCATCATTGAGGATGGGCTAATGGCAGCTTAAAAGAAATCACATCTTGTTTTGTTACTTGGATATTGTACAGTTGGTTTTAAAATAATCCATGCTGCCAAAGATAAAAATAGACTTTATCTCTGAAAGGGGTTATGCTTATATGCATGCATATAAGTCCTTCGGTTGTAAAGGGATCCTCTTCTTTTGAGTGTGGTGTTACTACAGCCATATGACAAGGATTTACTACTTAGGTCGTCTCTCCCTGCTTGCTGTACTTCATTTTAAAGAAAAACAATTGCTAACGTTAATTGAATGTTCATTTACCTTGTGCCAGTCATGGTGCTAGGCTTATAAAACACATAGTCTTACTAATGCTCAGAACAACCCTTTGAGGTAGGTACTGACAGGTTCAGAGGAAACTGAGGTCCTGTTGTTAAGTAATGTGCTCAAAGGTTTAAGAGTATTATGGGTGGAGCTGGACTTTAAACTCAGCTGATTGACTTTAAGACCCACTCTCCTACATGTGGTCTTATTTTCAACTATTTTACTTAGTTAGTAGCATTTTTAGAATAAGTAGCTTAATGAACTTACTGTCTTCCTTTCCTTGTCATTCTACTAGTGACCTGGCGCATGGATTAATGCACATTGAAAGGAAATTAATTAGAAGATGGCCCATGGGGCGGAAGTGGGCGAGACAGACCGGACATGCCCTGAAGCCAACCTCCCGGGGCCCCTCCCCAGCCCAGCCAGCCGCACCTGGAGTGGCACCATGGCTCAAAGGGCATCTGTGGAGAGAGTGGGGTCCCTCTGGCAGGTAGGGTCCTTCGGCCTGGCCTGCGGGGATTGGGCTGAAACTGGCTTTCCGACATCCCCCGAGGGGTCCCGGAGTGCCAGACGGCACTCTGCAAAGTTGCTGTCATACAGGGTGTGGAATGCAAATGCAAGTGTGCAGTAAACAAGATTTGGGCCAGCAACAACATAACCCACAGCCAAAGGTGGAATCACGGGGGCCCTGCAAGGAATCGGGCTCCCTCCTCTCTGGTTTTGGGGTGCGTCACCTGAGAACCACTGCTGCCAAGTCACTGCATCTCGGCAGCTCCTGCATTGAGCATCTGCCCCCTGGTGGTCAGTGTGTGTCATAGTGACTGATCAGATAGATGGTGGGAGGGACACTTAGCATATTAGCCTTTTATATATACAGTAGGTCCTCGGGTTACGTCAGAAATCCGTTCCTATGGGGTGATGTAACGTGATTTTTGCTGTAAGTTGGAACCCACCTATATAAGCACCTACGGCCCTCACATGGAGCACATACACAGCAGTAATGAAATGAAACAGTAAAAAAAATGTTAAAAAAAGATAACAATTCCTGACCTTTACTTGTGGTAAATAAATAATAAAAAAACATAAAGCACATATGTACATACGTCGAAATGATGGAACTTTTTTTTTATAAATAAATGGGAGATGGTGACGTAACCACGAAACGACATATGTTGAGTCCGACATAACCCAAGGACTGCCTGTATAGATATTTATATCGCCCATAATCTACCTCTCTCTCCCCTCACTAACTTACCATTGTCTCCTCACTCAGTTTGCCTTCTTCCCCCACAAAATAATTATATTTGAGTTGAACCAGTTTGGAGTAAAGAAGAGGATGCAGGGCCAGGAGTAAAAATGAACAAAAGAAAGTAGCTGTAAAAGGGAAGAAAGCAGGAAATAGGAAAAATTTGGCCCGAATCTTGTTTACTGCACACTTGCATTTGCATTCCACACCCTGTATGACAGCAACTTTGCAGAGTGCCGTCTGGCACTCCGGGACCCCTCGGGGGATGTCGGAAAGCCAGTTTCAGCCCAATCCCCGCAGGCCAGGCCGAAGGACCCTACCTGCCAGAGGGACCCCACTCACTCCACAGATGCCACTCCACAGATGCCCTTTTCCTATTTAGGCTGGAACTCAAGTCTTTAGTGGGCTCAATGTCAGTCTCCATTGCTCCTCAGGCAAGTCTACCCTAAATCCACACTTCCTTTCATACCTCATATAATGCCTTTATTGCTTTTACTAGCTGTTAACTAATTCCCAGATCTCTAAACCTCCAGATCCTGCATTTATTTATCATTTGAAATATTTATTGAAAACCTCCTATAAAACACGAGGGTAGGAGTTAGGGAAACAGTGGAGGAGAGTGAGAAAAACAGACACTACCCTCAAGGAGCTTATATTCTAATGGGAGAGGTAATCAAGTTAAAAAAAAAATACAAATAACTGCCCGGCCGGTGTTGCTAGTGGTTGAGCATCAACCTATGAACCAGGAGGTCACGGTTCAATTCCAGTCAGGGCACAGGCCCGGGTTTCAGGCACGACCCCCAGTGTGAAGTGTGCAGGAGGCAGCCAATCAAAAAATCTCTAATCATTGATGTTTCTATGTTTCCCTCTCTTTTCCTCTCTGAAATCAATAAAAAAAATATTTTTTTAAGTGCACTGCATTTTTTGATAGTTGTCTAACAGAGGTAGAGGTATGGTCACCCCCACTGCCTATTCTAATTTAATTCAGACTATCTCAACACTGGCCAAA